AGGAGGTAGTATTTTATCGAGCAACACGCGGTGTGCTAATAAACGTGTTAGGCCTCGATTTCGGTGTAGCAGGTACGGATGGCCAGGTAATGAACGGGCATGCGAACGAGAAGATAGGCGACAGAGATAGAGGATATAATAGCCCGGGGAGGTGGGAAGGTGGAATCGATGGGATATTCAAGTAATGACAACGATAACGACGGTGACGATAATCAACGAGCAACGACCAACGTCGAACGCAATTCGCTGCAACGACGATGACGAACGACAGCTAGGGAAGCCATTAAATTGATACCACGTGCTAATTGGTATCTCTAATTTCTATCTGGTTGTGTATCGACCAGCTTTTACCATAAAATTACCACCCAATATTCGATCCAACGATATGGACACCCTTCGAATATTCCAGCATGCTCGAAGAATAAATATCTCGACACTTTGCCACAGTTCCTCCTTCTCTTACAAAATTCAAGATAAGATAAGATTTCTTGGTATATCGCGATATCCCCGTGTGTCGTGCGCTGGCTTTAAACGGATCAAAGCTTCTCGTTTAATACCTCCGCGGTTCTCCTCTTTCGAAGGGATCTCGGTGAATACATACTCGAGAACAACACCGTAACACCCTTCCATTTGCCAACGTCTCACCGTCTCTACTTTTATCATCCCCCCGTCCGTCAGTCAATGTTTGTCGCGCGTCTGCCTCGCGCGTAGAACGTGGCAAATAAAATTGAGGCAAACCGATCTCTCCCTCTCCCTAAACTGATTGACACGCTCGAATACTCCTCCTCCTCCTCCTCCTCCTCCGGCGAGGAGGGAAATAAGAAAAGGTTCGGGAGAGGATGGGCGCTTAGAGAGATAAGTACAAGTGGAAACGTGCATCAAGGGTGGGTTCGCCGTAAATCGAGTTTACCGACGACGAACGGTTCCCATCATTTTCCGCGCACCCTTTCCCCACTCCGTTTGCCTCTGCATCGCGACGAACCGCGTACGTACGCGCGAAAAACCTTTTATCCGGAGAAATTACCGTGAATGGGTGAGAAAATCATCGGGTTGAGGCAGCAACTCCATTTTCTCGAGAGGCGTGAGAGGGAGAGAGAGGTGGGATACCGCTTCGTCACTCGAGACACGGAAAAACGGCTACGCGACTCGATTCCGCGTGTCGAGGTCGCAACAGTCGACTTCGTCGTCGTCATCGTCGTCGTCGACGCCGTTTAGAGAATGCCTGCACGTACGTTGCGGGTCGCGCGCAAAAGGGGTTGGAAAGATGGAAGGGGAGACGCGAGAGGGAGATATTCCTGTGGAACCTCGAAGGAAATTCCCCGTATCCCGAGGAAAATTCGTTCAGTTTCCTAGCTGCGTTCCATATTTCCTCTACTTTTTCCATCGCTCCCCCTCCATTCCGCTGTGTTAAACCGCTACGTGTCCTTTATCCGATGTCTACTCGCCTCTCTGTTTTTCCTTCTTCTTTCTTTCTTTTTTCTTTCCCCTTTCGCCTCTCCTCCGCCGGATCCTTTTCGGCCGGATTCTCTTCGCTCTCGATTCGAAGAGTATAGCGGAATCTCCGGAGAATCCTGGAAGAAGGTTGGGGAACGAACGAAGGTCGGCTGCGGATTAATAGGAAATGAAGATCGCGGTGGAAGATTCGACTCGATTCAAAGAGAAGGGGGGGCCGTCTTTCCAGCTCGCTTTCGGGTTGGGCTGAGCAGAAAATGGCGAGTCGCCCGCCGGCTTCAAAAGGCCAAAGCCAGTGAAAGGCTTACACGCTGCTTGCCACCCGGCAAATTGCGTATCGAGATGTTTTACGTATCGAGCGGTATCACGTCGGCTGCGGTATCCGGAGGATGTGTATCGCCATCGTTCCTTTATACCTCTCGTCGATTTCGAATCGGGTAGAGAGAGAAAGAGAGCGGGTGAACGAGTTGAATCGTGGCAGGACGAAATACAAATTATCTCTCTCCCCTTCTTCTCGATCTTTGATTCGAGCGCTCGAAAAATGAGAAAGATGCTCGTTGCTTATTTTCGAGCATTCGAGCATCGAAAGTGCTCGAAGAAACTGGGAACGAATATACTCTCTCTCTTTCTCTTTGTTCGTCGATAATTCGTTCTAAACGGTCGTATTCGGTCGAAGGGGAACGATTCGGATTCAACCCTTTAAACGAAGTTTAAACCTTTCGTCGTGCAAACAAACTTTTTCAAGAGGATGGTATATAGAGATCTATCTATTTTTAGCGAAAGAGAAAATTCAATTAGAGAGCTACTTTGAGAGCTTGTTGGAAGAGATTCGGGGAATGTTAAAAGGATCGTTGATTCGCAATCAGATTTCGGTGGTAACCGAACTCGGGCAAAACTGTAGCTCCAACTTAGAAAAAAAAAAACAAGAAACTTCTCCGCTCGGGGTGGAATTTGCATTACGTTTCTCTATAGAAACTCGAACGATATTTATATTTACTAGACGGGTGGCTTTTGTATTCAGTCCGCCCTCCCCGTTGGGAAAATATTTCTGTAATTAAAATGATGCCGCGTTGCGGAACGTTTTCAGCGGTGGCGCCACCGCAACCACGATCCTTTTATTCGCAGATTTCTCGCCTCGTTGTACTTTAACAGGGGCGAAATTTCGCGATAACGCGTGGAGCACGTAACATTCTTGCTCTTCTCCCAACCACCTTGTAATCTCGATGCCGGGAACTCGAGTTTCGAAACTATATAAGATGTCCGCCGTTGACTTACGAACGGTATTCGACCCCGCAGGCCAAGACGGCGAGACCCGCGCGAGATATTTAATTTTCCCCACGGGAAAAGTTTTGGTGGATGTATAAAAGGAGGCGGCAAATGATAACTGACCTATTCCTCGGGAGTAGCCGGAGACTGCACCGCGATAAAGAAGATAATAACGGTGGCGCGAAGAAATTTATACTCGAACGATCCTCCTTTCGTTCCCCTCTCTTTTACCATCCGCGCCTGCTGCTCTACGTATTCCTCTTCCTCTTCCCGTATATCGCCCTCGTTACGGGGTGCTCGAATAAATTCGCGAGGCATCTCTGGCGTGAAACGCGGCCCCGATTCGCGATATCGAAAATTGGAGGAGAATTTTCGGGAGGGGAGAAAAAAAAAAAAAAAAGAATGTTCACCCCGCAAATTCGAATCTCGCGGGAGAGAAACGGATTATTTTCGCGGATCCGGGTGTGGAAACAGAATTATCCCCGAGCGACGTGCTAACGTCGTTCGATTCATCGTATCGAGTTTTAATATCGTTTATACATCGTGTATCGTCGTATAGTAGGATGCGCCGTGGACAGGATCGATGGCAGGATCGGCGAGCGTAACGCGTTCGATTAATTCGCGAATTGGAACGTGAAAAAAATTGGATCTTATGTTATCGATCGTGTCTAAAACGTCGAGAATTTGTGCAAGGGGGAGGAGGATCCTAAAGACCCTTTTCGACTAAGAAGGATCGCATTGCTCCCTTCGCTCCCTACCTCTCGACATTTCTCTTCACTCCTCTCCTTCCCCCCCCCCCGTGTTTCCATTCTATTCTCTCTTCTCTCTCCCTCCTCTCCCTCCTCTCTCTCTCTCTCTGCGAGCGTCGTGGAAGGATGCAGTCTGGAATAATTAACGAGGGTGAGATCTTCTTCCAACGTGGAACATACGTTTAACGAGCCCCCATTGCCGAGGGGTTAGAAGTAGCGGCGGCCGTAAACGTGCGCGACGCCTCCTCAAAGAGGACGATCCATCGAGGGGTCCATGGGGGGGAGGGGGAGGGGAAGGGGTGACTTTCGACATTGGAGAAGTACTGCTGCTGCTCTTTCGTAGGATATAGAAACGGCACGTACTTGCACGGTAATTGTCGAAACGACGGAGACGACGTTTAACGATCAGCCCGTAAATGTCGATAAGCGGATAAGAGGGGGGATTTCGGGCATTTTTCAAACCTCCCTCCCCCTTCCCCTACCCCTCCCCCAGAGAGGCCGCCAGAGAGTTATCAGGGGCCGCTTTATTAAATTTGTCGAATGTCTCTATCGATTCATTGCGGTCGTTAACGCCGCCAATTATTACTCGATAAAATCGAGTTCGAATACCGCCGCGATAAAATCTTCAATTTCGATCGCTGTGTAATTGACGATTAACGTTTTTGATCATATATACCCTTTAGTTATTGGAGGAGCAATAATTTCTGACAATTGTTGAAACGGAGCTCGATAACTTTAGCCGATTATTTTCGTTAAAGCTCGTTACTTGTCGATTCTTTTTTTTTTTTTTTATTATATATTTTTTCGAATATACGTTCGGTAAAGTTATTAATGCGGAATAATTCGTACGATTAAATCGGGCGATTTAATTGCAATTTAATGTTGTTAATCTTTTTACGCTGGAATGTAATAACAGCATTCGAAAATACACGGTATATACGGAGTAATTTGATTGTTATTAGTGCATAACAACTGCATCGATAGGCACTTCATCGGAAACGTTGTTGCACGTACGAGTGATAATAATAAGTTTATAATATGTAAATACACGTTGAACGTATATATGCATTTTACCTTGTCCATTTTGTCATCGTAATTTGTCACTCACGGTGGCTAGCACCGTGGCGGGAAACGTCATTCGTCGATCGTCGTTCGGCAGATCGATTGGCGATTTTATGGAAAATTTATTGGAACCATCTTGAACGTTGGATGGGATCGATCATGGCCCGTAAAATTACGCAATTAAAAGAATTCCTTTCGACTCCATTAATCTTTGCCGCGGATAAATTGCCGTGATTTCGTTCGAAACGAGGCCGATTGAATCGGATCCGTGGCGTTGCAACAAATCTTTTCGTTCGTTTCGAGGAGAAGATTTCCTGTGCGCCTGCCTGCCTGCCTGCCTGCCTGTCTGCCTGCGAGGAAGAGAATCATCTCCCTCGGGATATCGGGATTTTAGGGAGGAGCAAAGTCGACGGTCCCAGAATTTTCGTTTGAAATTCCAGCGATGCTTATCCGCCGCCATTTTGGTTTCAGGTATCCTGGATGCGTAAAAGGGATTTACACATACTCACGTCGTCCATCTATACGTACACGGGGGACGAAAGATTTTCGGTGAAGCATCCCGAGGCATCCGACGAATGGACGTTGAAGATCGATTACGTTCAGCAACGCGACGCCGGGGTTTACGAATGCCAGGTTAACACCGAGCCCAAAATGAATTTAGCCTTCGTTTTGAGAGTGGAAGGTAAAACTCCTATCATTTCATCGTTATCCTTATTACGTCCGCGATTGATCCTTTTGCGTTTGACGCGTTCCACACCGAATGTTCGAGTCCAATTTAACAAAAGGAAAAAAAAAAAAAAAGAATCGCGAAGTGAAAATAGTATGGAATCAAATCTCAGCGAAAGGATCGATCGTCTTCCCGATCTACTACAAACTTCCCGTTTACACCGCTGTATAATAAATACCCTGCGTAATAATCTGAGTCTAGATGGAACAAGAGACAATTTTTCAAAGCTTATGATGTCGTATAACGCGTGTCTATCACCTGATCGATCAGGAAAAACACGTTTTTTTCCGATGACCCTGTGACTTTTGATGACGCACCAAGCATGAGAAAAAAGGATTGAAGCTTTCCGCTTGCATGCTCTCTCACCGTCGTGAGACGTTAACACGTTGAAGAGATATCTCGGATAACTGAACTCCCCCCCCACCCCCAATCTCATCTTTTTCTCACACGTTTTCATCTCACCACCCACCACCCCGCCCTCGCCGTGTCTCGCATAACAATGTCTCGCGTGACATTCCGTCCGAACGTGCGGCCCTTCGGCAACGTGCCGTCGATTTCGTCTCCTGGTACTTCTGTTGCGCAATTAATTCGCCTAATTGATGGTCCTGTCAACGTCGAGCACAGGTTGCAACCGCGTGGCCACGACAACACTTCGGATTACAAACAGTGGCCGGCGTTACGGCGTCAATTAAAAGTCCTCGTGAATTATCGAACATCGTTTCTACCCGCGTGTTAAGCCTGATCGCCAAATCACGATCGCCGATCGATTACGATAAAACGATAATCCCCCTCCTTCGTTCGTTCATTTTTTTCGTAAGTATTTTTTTTTGTCAATCGCGCAATTGTTAACACACGGATGGATCTGTGCATACGTTTTTTCATTATCGAATCGATCGAATTCTATCGCGATCGAGTATACCGTATGATCACGCATCCGTGATGAACGCTATTCGTTCATATCGTTTTATTTACTATATTTTTCTATTTTTCTATTTCTGCCTGTTTATCATTGTACCGGTACAATTCACCATCACCACCGCGCGTATCGACGAGCATCAATTATTTAGCTCTTTACGCGTCTACGGATTTAATGATCACGATTTTGCTTTCCCGCAATTAATCACGCGACCGATGATTTGTAACGAATGTAATAACAACGTATACCAATGTCTGCGCGTAAAATTCTCAAATTGCAAATAACGGGATAATAATATCGGCAGCAATTTGTCTATAATAATTCAATGATGAATTATATCATTTGTTGTTCGCCTAGTAATTTGGCGAATAATTTAAACGCTGCTTGGAGGTTTTTCTTTTTATCGCGAATGATTCATTCTCGATCGACGCAAGTCCGGATTTGCAAGATCACAGACACGAAATTCCTGCATATATATATATATATATATATAGACGAGAGATAGTCGAGTAATTAGAGTAATAGCTTCTTCACGAGCATCGTCGCGTGAACTGTTTCCGCGAACTGTTCACGTGATTTCGAAGAGTCCTCTTCGTGCGCACGAACATCGTTGTTCATTAATTACATTCGTAGCGCGCCAACCTCGCAAGGGTAATCGTCGTCGATTCTTTTTTTTTTTTTTTCGCGTTGTACGACGATCCTGTAATTAAAATTGGTCAAAGAATTAATCGAAACTCGAGAGAGGAGGAGAATTTCCCTCCTCCCTTCGATTCGAATCGATCGATACACACAGAGTTTCGCGCGGGTTTATGCGCGATACATCATTCGCCGAGACTCGACAAACCGAGAGAGAGAGAGAGAGAGAGAGAGAGAGAGAGAGAGAGAGAGAGAGAGAGAA